ACAACCAGGGTCTAAAGCTTTATGACTGAAACCAAGATGGACTCATGGCACTAAGAATCAGGGGGCTTATAATGTGTAATGAAGGGACCAAGATACAGAAAAGCATTAACAGTTAAATGGTTGTGTGCATTTGACAAACTATTATAAAATTAGACTGGCACCAAGCACTGATATTTAAAAACAGCAGCAACAACATCATGGGATTTTACAAAACTTTGGGCCATTCAAAACTTTCCTGTAAATGAAAAATAGAAGAGAAGCATAAACCCCCGCATGACACGCATAGAAATAACTGGCTTCCTCTACTTTGCGGGAAAAAAAAAGCAGCTAACTGATGGTGCACTTAGCACCATCCCTGCTGTGCTCCTTGAAGTCTGCACGGAATGAACTCGTTACTAGGCGAGTGGCGCACATCTCCAGGGTATGCATTCCCTCCTCGTTTGCATACACTTCTTCTCTCACCAAAGCCGTATTCAAAGCATCTCTGCTGCCTTCCAGGTTTGCACTAGAGCACCAAGGACAAGAGGCACTCAAAGCCGTGACTCCGGGCACAACAGTTTCAGCAAGGTCACGTTTTGACAGGTCTCTTGACAGAGCGGAGGGGAGACCCCACCGGCGAAAGGCACAGAAGTGAAACCCCCTAACACTCATCCCCTTCCCGAGGAACAAAACCCACCTCCGTCCCCGACGGCTCCCCAGGAAGCGGCTCTCCGCCGGCCAGCACCGCTCGGCCGCTCACTGCCGCAGCCGGCAGCACTCCCCGCGTCGCCCCTCGCCGGCCTGGGACCGGGGCACCGCTCCAGGCTCCCGAGCGGACGGAGCGCCGGGGGGAGCCCAGGGCCGCGCCGGGCTGCGAGGGACAGAACGCGACGGGACGGCCCCCGCCCTGCCTTCCCCTCCCCGCCTCCCCCGGCGCCCCGCAGGGTAACTCACTGCGGTCCGGGAGAGCCCCGCCGCTGCCGCTCGCCGCCACCAGCTCCAGGTAAACGGCCCAGAGCCCCAGAGCCAGCGCGGCCAGGGCCAGCAGCACCCGGCGCCGCCGCCGCAGCCGCGCCAGCAGCCGGCCCCGCATGGCGCTGCTTAGAGCGCCCGACCCCCGCCGCCCCGGGGCATGCTCCCGCCACCGCACGGGCACCGCAAGGCGCTGCCGCGGACCCCTTCCCCCGCGGGGCGGGCCCAGGTGCGGGGCGGTGCCGCGCCCCCGCGGGGGCAGCTCCCGGCCGCGCTCTGCCACCGCCTCCCGCACCTGCCTCCGCCCCGCGGGGGCCGAGCTCAGGCTCCGGGGCTGCCCCGGCACCGATCCTCACTCCGGCCGCTCTAGGGGCTGGCGGGCGCTGCGACGGGAGCTGGAGCGGGAGACGGAACCGTCCCTGAGCGCGCTGTGGGGCCCGCGCTGCCACAGATCTCCGCTCCTGCCGTAGGCGACAGGAAAGCGGCTTCTGTGGCGGAGGAGGCAGGCGCGCTGTCCCGGCTCCAAGTCCTCCTCAAAGCCGGTTTTCGTAGCGCTGGGAGCGTTGGTGGATCCCTCGGGTGAGAGGACGGGTGATGGTAACTCCTGTGCACAGAGGGAAGGAGCGGGGCGATTCAAATTCACACGGTGACACACAGCTGAATCTAAGTGTTTTCACCTGGTGCAACAAGTGTGTTTGCTTCAAAGTGCTCTGTTCAGTCAGGAGGAAAAGGTCACATGAAGCCTCCAAATGTGCTTTCAGATGCAGCTGGCTAGATGTGATGTTACACTGTTCAGACCCAGCAGAGAGAGAATGTTGGAGACCGCCATAAAGACCAGGATGCTCCTTGAGTGTGCTTACGGTATCCATTCCGTATCTCAATCACACTTTCAAAGTGACTCTCCCAGCCCTCCATGCTGATGGAGGGTTCACATCGTCAAGCCCTCTCAGAGGATGCAGGCTGGATTCCTCCTGGGTGAAAGAAAACTGGATGATGCTGCCTAGGATACAGGATTGCATCCACCTGGGGAGCTGATCCCGAGCAACAGTCTCTTCCCAAACATGCATGGTGCATGGCACCAAGCACTTCCCTTCATAGCAAAGGGCTTTAGGAAAGGTGCCAGAGGCCTTGTGAATGGCATGGCGGGCCACAGTGGAGTGGCACAAGCCCCAGCAGGGACAGGCTAGCATTGGCAGGGTGCTGGCATCCTAAGTGGTACATGGCCAGGGGCAGAAGCTACATTGGCAGTCCCTGGCGTGAACTGCCAAATACTGTGTTCACAGTGCTCTAGAACCCCTGGGATTACCTGTCACACATGGGGAGGGGGAGACAGACAATAGGCTTCCTTTTTCTGGACATCTCACAAAGGTTTCAGATCCATCTCCCTACAAACTTTGTGTTGGGAAGACTTTTCTTACTTTGTAAAAGTGCATTTGGAGAACGTTATAACTTCACTGTGGAGGTGTAAAGACATGATGTTTCTCAAGAGTGGAACAAATCCCACAGCAGAGGAGGCTGGAGAGCAACTCTGCCCTTGGGCTCTGGAGGGACAAAGTCCTTTCTGCAGCTTTCCAGGATGCAACACTTGCATTCCTCCTTCTTGGGGCTGCAGGTGGCACCAACCCATGCTTGAATCATGGGGCTACTTCCTCTGGTGCAAACAGAAAAGAATGACAATACCCCGCCAACACTGGCATCCATATGGCTAAAAACTTGAAGGCCAGTGGAGTGTTGGTTTGGGTTTTTTTCCAGCATGAGAGAAATAAACCAAGATTTTCACATTTGTTAAAAGAAAAAGGGGGGTTAAAATGCTAGGAAAACGTGTAATAAATACAGATCTAAGTGAAGCTTCATTTGCCATTTCAAGAATGAGAATTGAAATGATGTATTGTTAGTGGGAAGTCATCTGCATTTTTTAATGGACAACCTTAAGTTTGCAAAATGACAACTGCACTTTGTGGAAACTGTTGCACATTAAAATAAGTAAGCACATTTTTCTTTGTGAACATGGCACTAAAATAGGGGGAAGGGGAGAGTGAAATTGTAGGCTAACAGGTAGTAATGTTGTCTTGTAAAGGAACATCTTTTTCCTGATAGATCTATGCTATGATGAAGTTATAAAAAAGCTGTTGTCTCTGGAGAAAAAGCTTGAGAAAGTGTGGCATGTTAATCTCTCTCTCATGATATAGTTACAGTAGAACAATATTAAGGAACAAAACTGATCTGGATGTGTAATAAATAGTGAAAGGAGGAATCTGAATAGCCTTACACTGTAAAATAACTTATTTTGGACCACTTACTCATTGTAGAAAGCACTAATGCCCAGAAGTAAGATTATCACTTACAGCACTGTTTTAAAAACCTCAAAGATAAATGCTTTTACCCCAATTCTTGTATTCCGAGTTTCTCAAGTGCCTCACCACACGAGCGCGTGCCCAGACTTCCACATCTCTCATCTCTCTGGGTGCAATACGGCAGGAGCTGGAAACTATGGCTTGTAATAATAATCCCATATGCTGGAGTCAGCCCCCTCAGGGAGGGGGGCAGGAAGGGAGCCGGAAGCAGGCGGTGGAGAAGCCTGGCCTGTGTCACATTCCACTGACCCAGCCGGCAGTGCTGATGGCCCTGACGGACCATCCCAGAACACTGGGCAGAGGGCTTCTTCCTTCAGAATGCACCTCTCCTGGCCTACCCCAAATACCTGCTTCAAAGAAAGTGCCGATTTGCCCCATGAGCCAACTGGAGTAATCTGTGCTTTATTTGGGTTGTTTATTTTCTGTTTTGGTTATTTTTCCTCGTGATAAAAGCAGCCTTTGATATGAGCACAGCACTTTAGGACGAGCATCTCCTGTTCCTTCCAGCTCCCCTCTCTAGCTAGGCCTCTGTGTATCCCTGATTCTTCTTGTTACACTTTTGCTTCTAGTTATCTAACAACTGTTTCTCTGTTTTGTAAATTACTTTTAGCTCTGTGCCAACATCCTTTCTCTGTAGGCTCCCCAAAGGTTCAATTATCTGCCACTTGCTCCTTCCCTTCTTTCTTCTTGTGTAATTTTCCTTTTAACACTAATTACCAGCTCTACACCAAAGGCACCCAACTGTCCCCCGCGTCCACCAGCCCGGCAGCTCCACACCCCTCTCCTTGACCTCAGCTATGCTCTGAAGCACAAACAATGACTTCAACTGAACACTCATCATCCAAACAGCTCCAAGACAGAAGTGTTTCTAAGAGGAAGAGCCAGTCTCTGAAGACACAGCTCCCTATTATTTCCCCTTCAGGCTCCTCAGGAATGGGCAGGGCTCTAAAAGGGGTTATTGGGGGAGCTCTCCCAGAAAAACCCTGTCAGCACTGACATCTAACATGGCAGTAAAGAGATCAGTACAGATCCACAATTAACAGGCTATGAGCAGAAGGACCTTCTTGCCCAGTTAGGCTGTACTGACATAATGTGTTTTGCTAACACACTAATCAGCAATGTGGTTTCTACTAATAGTTACTCCACCAACATCATGCAAACTGGCCTGATTGGGGATTTGAGGTTTCCTCTGGCTTTTGCTGCTCACAAAGCTACACTCCCTTCATTAAGGCCCTGGATGACATCATCATGCTTATGCCCCCCAATGCACCTGCATGGTGGGAAGCCTCACTCATGATTCTCTACTTTCACTGCTTAACTCCATAGAGTATTAAACCTCAGCTGTCCAGATAAAATGGCATTGAAATGGCTGTCTTTCCTTTCCAGCTGTAAAGAGGACATGCGTTTACACAAACCCCATCCAGCACCTCTAGAAGCATCTTCTTTTTGCAGGTCCTGCCCCACAAACTGCCCTGAATTGCCAAATTCTCACTATCAAGAGCACTTCCAGAAAAAGACCTTTTATATACTTAGAGCTGAAAACTTTCAAAATACATTTCAGGGTTTAAACATTGACCATAATGAAATATCTACATATTTGATCCTTTTGGAAATACATGCTTTCTAAGCTGACTGAAGTTTTGCCTAAATTTCCTCCTTCCCCCATCATTAAAAGTACCAGCACTTGTTCACTTGTTTGTTTTTTTTTTTAAATGCCTGTGCTCATCATCCTTATGTTTCAAGAAGTTCCAAAGATGTGCCACAATCATTTTATCAGGGCGACTACAGAACACAACATGGTGCGGTTCTCCCTGTGATGACACTGAGCAGAATTCAATCTGCCCAAGCTAGTCCCAAAGAGGAAAACTCTGTTTTACTGGGTTGTTTAGAAGTGACTTTACCCTGAGATAAATGTTTAGTGTGACAAAAAGGCCATTTAGCCTCTGAATCAATACAGGAGAACCCAGCACATCCCAGGCATTCTTCACCAGGGTAAATTGAGAGCTTTTTTTTTATTCAAAACAAACATATTCCAACAATGAAACCCTTCATGCCTGCGTAGTTAATAACTGTCTTGCTTTAACATTGATACACTTCTGTGTTGGAACCCTCTCTGGGTTATCAGAATAGAACCAAATAATCCATATTTACACACATCATCTGTCCACAATGCAACAGCATCACAATTCTCAAAACAGGAAATGTAGTTAGTATGAATAGTCAGCCCTGTTGAGCCATTTATAAAGCTGTATTTTTGGAGCTTATGTGAAGAGCAACCACTCCAGCTCACATCCAAAGCTGCCCTTTCTCTAAACTATTCATTTGGTGCTACAAGGGAAACACCAAAAGTCCATCCCACTCTTCTCAAATACTTCAGTCGTAGAAGAAACGTTTCCTGCTGGTGGGTTAAACGCCAGTTACCTCTGACAGCCTGGTTTCAGACAAAGTCCTATACTTCTGATGCAACGTAAGAATCAGAACAAACTTTGTTCTTTGTGCCTAGAACCCTATGAAAAACAGCAGCCAAAAGGAATCATCACAGCTTTCACCTCTCATGCTTTTTATGCTGTATCCAAGTATATTTTGGTACATAATCCCAGTCCAAGCACTAGAAAGTGTGTTTATGTATGTCTACATCTAGACTTCCAAATTTAAGAAGTAACTGTTTTGGGATTAAAGGGGATAGATATTTCTTACAATTCAAAATAACTTAGAAATATAAAGGCAAAATATCATAGAAAAAAGACAGAAATATCAAAGAATTACTTCCTGGCATACACCCAGAGCCATTCCAATTCCAGAATATCAAGCTGCCCAGAGTCCATCCATACTGGTAAAACATCTGTGTTTATGCATCAATACTATTACTCACATAAGCAATTTAAGTACAGCCATGGCATACAAGTACATACAGTGCTACTATTTGGCTTTAGTCCAACAGCTATCAGAACTATGGCTACTGTTAACCTGCTTTTCAAAGCACACGGTGTCAATTAATTTAGGAATTACTGCAAGGTGTGGTATAAGAAGATCATGAGAGATTTAAGGTTTTATTTATTTTCTTTTTACCTTGTGTACCCTTGCTGTGTAGGTGAGCGGATGCAGCATTCATTCCTATAATGAAAGCAATTGCAGGTATGCTGAAAAACTCATACCAATATCGCATATAAATTAATCAAAGGTTTAAAGCCAGAAGGAGCTATTAAATGATTTCCTGTTAGTTCATATCATAATATTTCATTAAGTTCTAAGGTGTCAAATCCTGTAACTTATTAAAACAAGCTACCTTCCCCAGAGGTACAATAATTTTTTGCTTTGCAGATAGAGATGGGAGAATTTGTTACCTCCACAGTTTCTTATAATGAGGGGAAAAGCACAACCTTCCTGTTAAAAATGCATGCTCCTATTTTTACTAACTTCAGGTTCATGCTACCAGTTCTTGCTCAGCCTTCCTCTGCTGGGAGAGGCCTTTGGTAACTTTTCATCTGCAAGGTATATGTATATTAATCAGTCTTCTTAATGCAATACAAGCTCTTGCACAACTGCTTCTCTTCTGCTGAATCTTCAGTAGTTCTGTGCCTTACCCAGTATTTCAACATCCTTTCTGAAATATATGCACTCCTTCCTTACCTAAATAAGGCTACACAACAATAAAGTATCTTGGATCACACTAAGTAACTAATCCCCTGTAGGAGAGTCTCAATATTCCTAGAATCAGCCATTTTGGAGATCTTTCAAAATACATAACCTGACATTTAGTTGTCTTGAAATGATGCAAGTCACACATTACTAACTTAAATTCACAAAAAAAAAAAAAAAAGCTGATCAGTCTTTGGAATATATCCCATTTTTTGTTTTCTACCCAAAAATCGTGGAAGAAAATTGTCTTGTAGGTCTTGGAACCTTTCCCATTAAACCCTTTCAGAAATGCCAATAATTTCTTACTGACATCTTAAAGATTAGTTGTCAGTGGTGGAAAGCACTTGGCTTTTTAAAGCAGTTCTTGGCTTGAAGGTCCACATTTGTTTTGGCAACATAAAGCAGTATTTCACATGATCACATGATGTTACACAGAAAAAGCATGTACAATACTTTGCTCTTCCTGCCCTTAGGCAAACAGTCAAGTTTCCAAATGAAATGGATTTGCAGATCACTAATACCATAATTCCCCCTACCACCACCCCCCTAAATAGGAAGTGACAAATTAAGGATGAAGTTCACACTGCACTTTCATTTTGACAAACCAGCAGATATTAGAAACATTGTTTTACCTGTTCAGTTTTTCAATTAATAAGGAATATTAGTAAGGGACACAGGAAATTCAACATTTACATCCTTCTTCCCCCAGTACTTCCTCCCAGTCTTACAAACCTGAATCTCAGCTGCAGCCTTTATCTAGACATGTTTCATGGCTTTCAAATGAGGAAGATGTAATTTCACAGGCAATTCTTTAGCTAGGAAAAGTTGAAAATAAACGCAAACCCATTTATTTCTATAGGATCAAGAGACCTTCTTGCCAGCTTCCCACCGGCTGATCCTGCTGACTAAGTGACTCATACTTCATTACGTAGCAATTTTCAGAAGTAGCCTTCCAGGACCTGTGATAACTTTGATATCTTATCTTCAAACCAATAGCAAGTTATTTCACACACAAACTCACTTCAATTAGCTAGACTTACCTGAGAAACTACTAGTCAACAAATAGTGAGACTAAGTGATGGGTAGCATTATTTAATAAACCTTGACTGTCCACATAGCATTGGCACCCAAGTTGTGCATGAATCAGTTTCTGAACAGTTCAGCATTTTCAGCTAAACCAATCAGTGCAACACACTTTAAAACAGCCTCTCATAACCTGTAGTAGTATCTGAGCATCTAGGTACAGACTGTCAGCCACATCAGTCTGTCTGTGATGAATTTGACCTCAAGAACACATACAAAAATACATGCCACAGCACAGGACCATACAGGACAGCAAGCTTGTCACAAAAAGGATACACAATTAAAGTGGGCCATGACTTCATAAGGAAATTTCCCTTCCTGCAACGTTTTAGCTGGTGCTATAAAACCAGCTCTTTCTCCAAATCCTGACAGCACAAGAACATCTTTTGCACATGTGCCTCTCCCAGATGCTGAAGGAGTTTCTCTGTGGTCACTACCACATTCAAAAGAAACCGTCCGCTGTTACACACTAAGTTCTTCCCTACAAGAAAGGAAGTGCGGGTAGCCTGTAGGTGTATACTTTAATTATTATTCTGCTTCTGTCACATTTGACAGTACAAAGAGGCACTGAAATACCTTTCCCAACACAGATGTGCTCTCAGTCTATGAGGTGGACAAGATTTGCTGATACTACAGTAAAAGCCATCAATACCCACAATTATAAACTAAGCTGAAGTCATGTTGTAACCCTTTTCATTACTTCATCTGTTTTCTAGCATTGTGATGTCCTGATGTCTGGTATGAAGGCAATTATCATACAGCTAGTTACAATTATCACGTAGCAACTAGCACCTGCTCTCCCATCCCAATTTCAGTTACAGTTCAGCAGCAACAGCTGCTATGGCAAAAGTTGACCACGATTTGTCAGTATGTAACCATGATATCGTTTAAAGCTAAAAAGATAGATAATACCATGGGGTTAAGTAAGATACTGTATGCCCTGTATTGTGGGCTTCCTCTGTGTGTTAAAATAAACTGGGAGAAAGGGATGAGAAGATGACACTTTAGTATTTCCCTCACCCCCAACATTCAAAGTAAGCATAGATGTTGCTGGTTCTGTAACAGATTATCTTTTCCCACCATATTAAAATCAGTCAGGTTTGTTCCAATCAACTTAGAACCAAACAATAGGGAAGCCATTTTAAAACAGTTATACACTCGAGGGGAAAGTCAGATGTAAATTCAATATATACTTTAGATATGTGGTCTGTCCAAAGAAAATTTCCAGTTACATTCTGAAGTGCCTCAGCACCAAACCATTAATCATTTAAACCATTTTAAAAGCTGCTTCTCACATAGACAAGGTCAGTCAAGCAATTCAGATCTTGAACTAGATCCTTCCATGATTATCTTATTATAACCATATACGCGGTTCATAATATGACCCAAAGAAAGTTGAAGGCCAGTATACACTGACCACTACCAGATACAAAGGTAAGATGAAGTCATATTCCCAATATATATCAGTCATCATGTACTTTCTACGTCTGTCTTATCAGGTGCCATCTCTCAGCTGAAAAATAATCTGGCAGATTCAGAATGGCTTATGTGCAATGCTATGACAATAACTTCAGATATCCTCAAGCCTTCTGTCACTGGATGCCAGGAAACAGACGGGCAGGAGCTGTTCTCACATGTGACTATTCTAGCCTACCAGTGTCCCACTGCTAAAACAAGGATGCCAGCTATACCTCTGCTTCAGCAGACTCGTAATTTATTCTCCAAGACAAAGATTTTTGCTTTTAAGTTTTTCAGTTCTCCTTGAATTTTACGAGTTAGTCTGTTTCCTTGGCAGACCTCGTGTAGAATTGCAAGATCCTGGTCTGGTCCCATATTCAGAGTCACCTAAAGTAAAAGTAAAAGAAAAACAGATTAAGAAAAAAAAAAGCTGCAGAGAAGATAATTTAAGAGTATTATGATGGTGATATGAGGGAGAAAACTCTAAAGGAGACCCTCTGTAGCTAGTAGAGAGGGTGCTTAAGCTACTATCACTATGCTAACGCACATCACCAATATAAAGGTGCATCATGTTGTTATATTACTAATAAGGAAGAAATCTCCTCAGAAGTTTACCCATAACCCATTGACTCCTAGACTACTAGAGGTGGTTTAAATGCTGTGGCCAAATTGCTGCCTTCTATGCATGATTCAGGAGCAGTTTCAGTAGAACACCTAGTCTCAATGCCATGCCATACAGCCCATACAGAATTGAAGAAAAGCTGCTAGATAATCAGAATTCCTGATGGCAAGCTAGCCAGGACTGCTATTTCCTGTCACCCTGGAACTGGATAGTATGCCACCCCAGTAATTTTCAATGCAGAACAGCACAGCCTTGGAAGCTGCTCTCAAAGCCCGCTTTCCCCTCGGCCCTTTAGGGTGTCTCGTTGTCATCATGTAGTTCTTGGTCAAAGAGTTTAATACGCAAGCCAGGTAATTTAGTCACTTATAGTCATTTTGACCGCAAGCGATGAGAAGGATTTAAAGATCACTCTGGAGACATCCAGCAAGTATTTTGTTCCTCTGCCCTCTTGTGGTTAAAAGTATAAAGAAATTAATACAAGCACATTCACAGCTACAAAATATACAGATCTGCAGTAAAGTTATCATAAGCAATTTTTCCCCATTCACATATGCTTTTTAATCCTTACAGAATGAAGTTTAAAAGCCCACAGCTCAACAAAACAATTAAGAAAGAAATGGAAGCCTTTAGAGAAGTCTCTTCTTTAGAGAAGACAAATGCATTAATCTAAGTAAACTGAACTGTGCACCAAAAGTATAGAAAACAAGTGAATCCGTGGCACTGCCAGACTCCTGAGTCTGCTACGCCTAGATCATCCTCTCAAGCATGTCTTAAATAAATATCTCATCCTAAACTTCAAGCAACATCAATGCTGTGGCTTACCTTCTAAGCTGTTCTTATGTTCATCTACACATTAGAAGCTACTAGAGAGTACATAGCTTCAACTTCTAGCCATTGTTTCCACAGCAATTTTTGCAGAGTTACAAACGAGATATCAAGGGAACAGACCGTCCACAACACTTTGATCAATGATCTAGCTGGTACTGGAATAAACCCAAATACTATGGCCCTCAGAAAGAAAACCTATCTATTTTCTTTGCAGGATATTAAGCAATCCAGAAGGCTTCTAAGCAATCCAGGAGGTTACTCAATTGTGTGAAAGACGGCTTCCTTCTGTAAGTAATAGAGAAGCCGACAAGAAGTGCCATGCTTGACCTCGTGCTCACCAACAGGGAGTGGCTGGCTGGAAACGTGATGCTCCAGGGCAGCCTTGGTTGTAGTGACCATGAGATGGTCAAATTAGAGATCCTCAGGACAGCGAGAAGAGCGTGCAGCAAGCTCACTGCCCTGGACTTCAAAAGAGCAGACTTTGGCCTCTTCAGGAACGTCATTAGTAAGGTTCCATGGGATATAGCCCTAGAGGGCAGGGGGGCCCAAGACTGTTGGTTGATATTCAAGGATCACCTGGTACAAGCAGGAGGGCCAGGAGACCTCCATGGATGGATAGGGAGCTGCTGAGGAAACTTAAGAGGGGAAAAAAGGCTTATAAAAGGTGGAAGCAAGGACAGGCGGCTTGGGAAGAATACAGGGGTGTTGTTTGGGAAGCTAGGGAACACGTTAGGAAAGCTAAGGCCCAGTTAAAATTAAACTTGGCTAGGGATGTGAAAGATAACAAGAAGGAATTCTATAGGTTTGATTGATGGCTTGGTGACTGAAAATTTGGGAAGGGCTTTAACCATGCTTACTACAAGCACGGTGACCAAGGGCATGTGGGATATGCAAATCTGGGTGGAAAAAAGGGTGCTTAGGCAATCGGGAAGTGTCCGACCAGGACTCTCATCTCCTGCGCAGTCTCAAGCTACCCATGTGCTGGTCAGCCTGCATGCAAGGTTCGATCTGCGGCTACCCATGCACCTTGTCACCTACTGTTTCAACCCTCGCCTGTCCATACAGACAGGCTAGAGTAAGCCCTTCCAGCCTGTGCAGTGGATTTTTTAGGTGAGGCGCAGCGTGCGCAGAACTGGCCCTACCCTTTACACCTGAGATTTAACTGCCACGGCCTAGCTAGCTAGGACGGTGACAGTGAAGTCCACAGGTCATAGGTTCTGTAAGAGTGTCCTTCTCTTTGATGGAAGCCCTTATAATGCTAGATGAGCTCATCTGCCTGGGTTTGAAGACAGGAGTTTTCCTTCTCCTATGAGGAAGGCCTGTCTTCGCTAATGAAGATTCAGGAAGAGCTTTAACCCACACATTCTGAACAAGACTGTCATTTCCTGGGTCAATCTCGAGTGACTGATGACACAACATCAAGCGTCTAGGTGGGATTCTAACTTAGAGGTGTTCAATCGTAAGCCCACAGATGGTAGCCTTGTGCCAGTGGCTCCTCAGCCAAGGGCATGCACCAGGGGTCTGAACCTGCGGTTCCTCTCGTACTGAGCAGGACTGCAAATAAAAGACAAACTAAGGACAACGTGGGCCCTCTCTGGAAGCTATCAGGAGAACTGGCTACACAGGATTTGGAGAAGGCTGAGGTTCTGAATGGCTTCTTTGCCTCAGTCTTCACTGGCAAAAGCTCTGACCACACCACCCAAGCCCTGGAAGGCAGACACAGCAACTGTGAGAATGAAGACCTTGCGCCCACTGTAGGAGAGGATCTGGTTCAAGACCATCTTAAGAACCTGAACAGACACAAGTCCATGGGACCTGATGAAATCCACCCATGGGTCCTGAAGGAGCTGGCAACTAAAGTTGCTAGGCCACTGGCTATTATATTTGAAAAATCATGGCAGTCAGGTGAAGTTCCCAATGACTGGAAAAAGGGAAATATAACCCCCATTTTCAAGAAGGGGAAAATGGATGACCCGGGGAATTACAGACCAGTCAGACTCACCTCTGTGCCTGCCAAATCTTGGAGCAGATTCTCCTGGAAGGCATGCTAAAGCACATGAAAATCAACAAGGTGCATGGCTTCACTAAGGGGAAATCCTGCCTGACCAACCTGGTGGCCTTCTATGATGGGGCTACAGAACTGATGGACAGGGGGAGAGCAGCTGATGTCATCTACCTGGACTTGTGCAATGCATTTGACACTGTCCCACATGACATCCTTGTCTCTAAATTGGAGAGACATCAATTTGATGGATGGACCACTTGGTGGATAAAGAACTGGCTGGATGGCCACATGCAGAGTTGTGGTCAATGGCTCAGTGTCCAGCTGGAGACCAGTAATGAGTGGTGTCCCTCAGGGATCAGTGCTGGAACCACTCTTGTTCACCATCTTTGTTGGTGACGTGGACAGTGGGATTGAGTGCGCCCTCAGCAAGTTTGCCAATGACACCAAGCTGTGTGGGTCGGTTGATAATGCTGGAGGGAAGGAATGCCATCCAGAGGGACCTTGACACACTTGTGAGGTGGGCTCATGCCAACTTTATGAAGTTTAACCATGGCAAGTGCAAGGTCCTACACCTGGGTTGGAGCAATCCCAGGCACAGCTACAGGTTGGGCAAAGAAGAGATTCAGAGCAGCCCTGCGGAGAAGGACTTGGGGGTGTTGGTCGACGAGAAAATGAACATGAGCCGGCTTCAGTGTGCGCTCATAGCCCAGAAAGCCAACCGTATCCTGGGCTGCATCAAAAGGAGCGTGACCAGCAGGTCAAAGGAGGTGATCCTGCCCCTCTACTCTGCTCTCATGAGACCCCACTTGGAGTACTGTGTCCAGTTCTGGTGTCCTCAACATAAAAAGGACATGGAACTGTTGGAACAAGTCCAGAGGAGGGCCACGAGGATGATCAGGGGACTGGAGCACCTCCCGCATGAAGACAGGCTGAGAAAGTTGGGGCTGCTCAGCCTGGAGAAGGCTGCGTGGAGACCTCATAGCAGCCTTCCAGTGTCTGAAGAGGGCCTATAAGGACGCTGGGGAGGGACTCTTCATTAGGGACTGTAGTAGTAGGACAAAGGGTAACAGGTTAAAACTTGAACAGGAGAAGTTTAGATTGAATATAAGGAGGAAGTTCTTTACTGTGAGGGTGGTGAGGCACTGGAATGGGCTGCCCATGGAAGCTGTGAGGCACTGGAATGGGCTGCCCATGGAAGCTCCATCCCTGGCAGTGTTCAAGTCCAGGTTGGAGAGACCCTTGGGTGGCATGGTTTAGTGTGAGGTGTCCCTGCCCATGGCAGGGGGGTTGGACCTGGATGATCTTAAGGTCCTTTCCAACCCTAACTATTCTATGATACTATATACTTCTGGAACTACTTTACTGTCTGATAATTTTGAGACAGCCAAGTGAACTACAGGTATCAGATAAGAACTTCAGACTTGCAACAAAAAATACACAGCTATTGCTTATGCTATATGCTTATGCTATATGCTTAACTATTACCTTAAAAAGCTGCTTCTCTACATCTTTCAGCTTCTGCCGAAGCTGTTTAATGTCATTCATGAAGCCTTCCGCTTCCATATTACGACGTTTTTCCAAGGCCTCATATCGCTGAGTCATCAGCTTCAGGCGCTTAACCATCTTTTCTGAACGTTCCTATGGAGATGAAAGCTCAATAGGGTATACAAAATAAAGGCTGCAAGATCATTACATAGCTAACAGATGATTACAGACTAATTACCTTAAAGAGTTCTCTGCCAGCATCTCCTTCCTCACGAATCCTCGCTAGCTCATCTTCCAGGGTGATGCACTGCTCTCTATACATGCTTGATAGGCGCTGCTCCTGCATTAGCTGCTCTTGCAGTGACTAGGACATAGGAGAAACAGAAAGAATCAACTCAAGAGCCAGTGCTAACAAAATTCCCCAGCTCTGGAAAAGCAAGTGTGATAGACTGACAATACGACAGGCAAAAATTAACAACTGGAGCTACACCTAATGAAATAACTAGGTAAGGGCAATATTCTACCACCACTTCCATTACCAAACTCTTTTCAATAGGTTATCGGCTGGGCATGACCATGCATCATCAGTTAAAGAATACTCTACTTTCCCCCTTAAAACTAATATTTAACCAATGCTGTAATTCTTTCCACAGCTGCTTGCCCAGTACTGCATTTCAGAAGCATCTACATTCAGGGGCAGGTCTCCCAGCTTCTCACTGGATGTATACTAGAAGTGGAAGAGAAGTCCTGAGTACTCTGGAAGGGCTGGAGGACATCAATTGAAAGGACTTACTCTCCCCCAACTCCAGCAAGAGAGATACAGACACTGCATTCTAAGTCTGTGAGCCGAGAGCATTTAAGCTAAAAGAAAGGCTTGCGCCACAAGCAGGTTAAGAACTGTCAGCCCACGTGTCATGAGGCTTGGGGAAGTAGGGATTTGTCCTGGGCATAAAAGAAACTGACAGTGAAGTGCTACCATAAATCCTAACTATATATTAGATCTGAAATTTGCAAACAGTGTGGATTTTGAGGCAGGAAAGGTTTTTTTCACTTTACTGCCAACAACATAACTCATGGCAAGCCAGTATAGCTTTGACACAGTTGCAAGCGAGTGCTTTCCTTGGAAAAACCCAGACGCTTGCAATTTTCTAGTAAAAAAAAAAACTGTTAAAGAATCTCTACCTAGACTAAAAAACAAATTACTTTTAGTTCTCGGCTGTTGAGTTTCGAAGCTCTATCATCTGCTTGAAGTGTCTTCTTGGTATCTCTCTGCTTCTCTCTTCCTGGATCCTTGCTGATACCCCTATTTTTGTCAAGTTTCCTCAAAAGACTGTCCTTCTCTGCCATCCATGCTTTCTCATTGGCTCGGGCATCAAATTTGAGCTGGAGAAAGTCACGAGTACTCTCGTATAAGAGATTTTGAGTTTTATGGAGTCTGTAAAAAGAGATCCCAGTGGAGTTAATTAACTTAGTTCCTACCTTAATTTCCCAAGTCATCATTGCAAATTGGAAGAAGCATGGAAGAAAAAGGCACTTTCCTAATGAGTTTAGCTCTAATGAAAGAGGTGATAATCTTCCAATGTGATAAAATTTTTAATATGTATATTACTCCATTCACCTTCTTCCACACACACACTACCAAATAGATGGCTGCATAATTTGCTTTTCTGCCTGCTGCAGAAAGCAACATACTGAAAGCCCAAATATTGTTCTCATCTCATAACTGTATCATGATCATTTTCTCACACTCACTTATCTGTTATAGTTTTGATCTTGTCCTGGTCCCTCTGATGCTGGACCTGCGCTTCCTCCATGTGAATCCGCCTGTCCTCTAACAGTGCCTCAACCTGTTCCTTGGATAATCGTGTCTGTTCTTCTATCTGAGCTTGCAGGGCCTCCACCTGAATAAGCAAAGACATTACTAAATAAGACCTCACAGCATCACTGCCCCTGTCCATGCAAGTCTCTCAAATCTTGGAGGAGTCAGACCAAAGACCCTACCCAATAATGCCTTTGAGAATGTTAATTTCTCACAATTATGTTTTTGTTTTGATGTTAAGCAGTTCAAACAACTATAACACTTAAGAAAAAAAATAAAAATCACACTATAGGCTAGACATGCATATTATAAACAGCAACAACAGATCAAAAAAAATGGAAAGATTTAGATTGCACACAAACATGACAAATCCTGTGGAATATGCAGACACTTCTGTCCTTATGCTACCATCTTCCGGTTAAATAGTGATATGAAAATACCCAAGTTCTAGGAAGGCAGCAGTCCACATCTGAACAAAACCAACCACTTTACCAGAAGAAATTACTAGATGTAAATAAGGCGATGAGCAAAGGAGAGGGACACCAAGGATCTTGATCTAGGGCACAGAGGCAGGGAGACAAATGGGAACAAGTAATTAAAAAACATGCATCTGGCTTATGTGTAAGAAACTATCTGAAAAAGCCTGGAGTGTATTTAGATCACTTATTTTTATAACAATTTTGTGTGATGCTTTTGCTCCAACACAAATGTTAGACAGCTAACTGGCCACTGGGTCAGTCACCACTGCCCTTGAACAAAAAATAATGATAATTTCAAAAGGTATCTATCTGCTGTACAAGTTTGCTCTTTAATTTGCTTTTGTAGCCATTCTTCCTCAGGCTTTACAGACAGCTTCTGGTATCTTCCCCAGTTCATGATTCTGTATATTTGTCTTCCATTCTGTCATGCTATCTACACCTTATCTTTCACTGAAGTCTAGCAAAGAGAACATTTCATTGCACTAGTGCATCTTATTGGGGCAGCCTAATTCTGTCTCAGACACATGGCTTTTGTCAAACTTCCACAAATTACCCAACCCTGCAGATCATCTGTGGTGTAATGTAAATTCAGAGTCACAATCAAGCTATGGGAGATAACATCAATGATACCTTATATATTTAAGGGCAAAACATTCCAGTTCACATTACTGGAACATCTGCTTATGTGAAGCTTCCAGAATCAAACCCAAGTTCTCAAATCTAAGCCTACATTCATCACAAAGAAACAGCTAAGTAAACTCACAGAAAGTGGGAATCCATAGTAAGATGTGCAGCCTGATAAAATGGGTATGTCTACATCATATCCAAGCAGACAGCATAATTTGTCTATCAGTTTCCTGGGCAGCCATGAATTACATCCATTGGTTAGCAAATGTTGTTACCTGAAGTAGAAGTGTTTGAGTATCTCTCTGATACCTCTCAGGACTTTCTGGTTTCTCGCCTTTTGCTGCTGGTATTGAAGTGTTCCTCTTGGCGCCTATTGTAAAAATTTAACAGAAGTAGAAAGAGGTTTTCCGATCTATCTGCAGTACCTTTCCAAGCATGAAATATATGTTCTAGCAGGCCTACAAGAGCAGGAAAAGGCTCACAAGGACTTCCAGGAGGGCTAGATGGAAGAAATGTTTCAGAACTTACAGGGATCACTTACATTTATCCTAAACTATCCCACCACAGTATTTAGGCAACCTACTAATTTTCTTGGCATATACAGAAAGCAAACTTAAATTTTCTTAAATAAATGACGAATAGGCAGATGAGAGAGCTGCACAAGCATCAAGCCTTGAATGAGTTTTGAGCTTCTTAGCTTGTTTCAGTTAATTTGGAAGAGGCAGCTCTTTAGAAAATCAGTGAAGTAGGCATATGGACCCACATTACTGTCTGCACTAAAGGCAGGCAGAATTCACACCTTGGAATGTCTGAGGCTAAGGGTGTCTACCCAATCGGTACCTGCATAGTTCCAGAACAAGCACTCCACAGTCATACCAGCCTATTCCTTAGCTGAGCAGATAACAGACATGAGAACCAGGTCAGGTTATTTTAAAAGATTTTGAAGGGAAGCCAAAAGTACTGCACACATACATATGTCAACACTGATACATTCAGGGAACTTAATGGAGCTATACCAAAGTATTCACAGTAAAGAATTATTTTGGCATACCGGACACAAACACACAGAGAAACAAGCATCAACAGCTGAGCTGCTGTTAATCTGCTTGGTGTGGTACCTGTTCTAGAAGTGTCATTTTGTTCATGTGATACTCTGGATTTAGCTGGCTTTTGCAGAACAGTAACCTACAGAAACAAGATTAGATATGTATTGAACATTTGACTTCTCCAAAGTTGCAACAGTCAAGAACAAACTTTAGAGTAAAACAAGATATCCAGAAGAACATCTTACTCCTTCTACAAGACAAGTAAGACATTGAACAAATGTCATGTCCATGATGAAGATTTCCTTTATCATGGCCTGAGTTTTGCCATTTCTGCCTTTTTCCCCCCAACCAAAACAACTGGAAAGTAACCCTGCCTTTGATGGTTTCATTAGGATGAAAATCAGCACCCTCAACAGGAAAAGAAGCATTATGTAAAGAGAGAAGAGGAAGGTGAAGATCAAGATTGCTGTTTTTGCCTTCATACTCCTCCTTGCCACAGCAAGACAGAGAAACATGAGGCTTGATTTATCACCACATTCACTCAAGCTACTAAAGAATAAGCCTGGGATAAAAGCTAACCAATAAAACTACTGAAACAACTGAACTATTGTACTAAAAGCCACTTAAAAACAGGACAACATGAGGGGACGGAGTCTAACCCCAATGCTTATCTTGAGGTAAATGCTATATAACAGGCCTAATCTTAGAGCTACCATGTATCAGGGAATTTTTACGCTTCTGCAAGATTTTTGAGCTGCTTGAGCGGTGAGGAGCAACTATAATCAATGCAATATATTTCAGTATTTTTCTGCACAAAATATTCCAAGATGAATCCTGCATTCTGTCATAGTCTCTGTATGTCCAAATCATTTGTGATTCATGATTTAGTAGGTTCCACTGCACTACCATTTAATCAATTTTTGAATTTAATCTATTTTTGAAATAGATGATACAGCCTTGCCTAGAGGGGACAGCTTTTCTGCAGTCTTCTGCCAGGAAATTGCTGCAGCAACCTCAACGCTGTTATTCTTTACTGAGTCCCTAAGAGATAGGTCCTCTGAGACAGCTGATCTTCAAACACTGCACTTGGTCTTTTCCTGTACTTCCTTTTTCTTTTTCTCTTTGTGATGTTCTTTCCAATTTCTCAACAACCATTTGTCAGATGGCTTCAGACTCCTATCTGACATTTAGGAGGCTGATTTGGAAGTATGTTTTGAAGGTAGAAAGGGACTGGTGCTAAGAGGACCTACTTCCAGTGTGCTTGTTCCTGTCAGTAGCTATAACAAACCAGTATAACTATTTGTCAGGAGCTATAATAAAACTCTATGTTGTTACAGAACTACAGATCCCTCCCTGCTCTGAGCTCATTTATCAACTTTTGACTTGCAGAACAGATCTGGTCTGTGGTCAGCCTCTGGGGTATACATCTTCATGTTACAATCAAAAGCAGAGTTCTACGGAAACACTGAACTTGCCTTATGTGGAGGCTCTTTGTGAAAATATGTAACTTCTCCTTTGTCTGTTCCCACTAAAGCCAAGAGATATTGAATTTTTTTTCTATCCTCCAGTTCCCTGGAATTCAAAGAAAGTGGTCAGCACATTGTTATTTTTAAGTACATCAAGACATTGTGACATGCTGCTCTTCAGTTTACTTGTTAATGCTTACAAGTTTTCCAAACTGTTGTAGCTTGAGAATATTGGTTAAAAAAAACACAAAAAAAACAAACAAAAAAACCAAAACCAACTCCCAAAGACATTACTGATGTCACTGATGCAATAAGAAGACAAGTAATTCCACTGGCATTGGGGAACATTCCTCCTTTCAAATAGGACAATTCTACATAGGCTAATACAGCAATAACATATGACGGGAAAGAATTTGCATTCCAGATTTATGAACTATCTAAAATCCTCTCAGTTACTTAATTCAATAGATTGTAAGTGTCCATTGTTTTTAAAGCAAACTACATTAAGGGCAGTATCAGACTTTTCGTCAAACCCTTGCAAAGTGCCAGGGCACCCCAACACACATTTTGACTTAAGTTCTTAAAACTTTAACAGAAAACTTGGTATTATCACCCACAAATGTTCTGAAGAAGGTTAGGAACCCCTCTGCCACTGGCAGCTAGTCCAGTACAGCAGATTATTTTCCAGTTCACCAACTAAATGGCATTAAGAAGGAGCAGCTGTCAACATAATCTCATAGAGTGAGGGGAACTACTTGCTTTGGTCTGTATTTTCTATTTGAGCTTAGGCAGATTTAGGACCAAGAAATGACATTTTCCCAGGCAGTCGCAAAGTCTGTGTGTTGGATTTGCATGGCAAGGTTTCGGTAACAGGTGGGGCTCCATGGCCCACTGTCGTGGTTTAAACCCAGTCAGGTAACTTGTTCACTCACTCCCAGTGAGTGGTGCCGAGCTGACAACAATCAAGGTCCGTGTTCGTCTCCCCCCCCCTCCCTGCACCGGGGCTCTCCCCTTCCCCGCTCCCGGAGGAACGGGGAGGAGGATCGAGAGAGTGCAACTCCTACGGGTTGAGACAAGAACAGTCCAGCAACAAATCACCACCGCTACTATCAGCTAAAACAATGATGAGGGAAAATAACAAGGGAAGAGAATACGATACCACCGGCCAAGAAAACGAGTTCCACCCGGAAGCTCCTGTCCTTCCGGGTAACTCCCAGTTACCCCCCACCCCGGGCATGACGTGCTGTGGTATGGAATACCTCCCCGGCTAGCCCGGGTCAGGCGCCCCGCCTCTGCTTCCTCACAGCCTCCCCTCTTCCCTGGCAGAGCATGAGCCTCACAGAGTCCTTGGTCAGGGTAAACATCACTTAGCAACAACCGACAACATCGGCTTCACCAACGCTGTTCTCAAAACTAGAAGTCAAAACACAGCACTGCACCAGTTAACACAAAGGAAAAAACATGATTGCTACTGCTGAACCCAGGACACCCATTTCTGTGAGAAACTGATAAAAGCTTCCCCTATGTCTGATAGAGCCAATGCCAGCTAGTTCCAAAACAGACCCACCACTGGCCAAGACTGAGCCCGTCAGCAACAGTGGTAGTCCATTTGGGATAGCATATTTAAGAATGGGAGGCAGAGGGAAGGAAACTGCAACTTCAGCTGAAAAGGGAGAATATGTGAGGGCAACAGCCCTGCAGACATCAAAGTCAGTGAAGGAGGGGCAGAAGAGCTCCAGGTCCTGGAGTGGAGATTCACCTGCAGCTCATGGTGAAGACCACTGTGAGGCAGGCTGTCCCCCTACAGCTCATGGAAGTCCCAACAACCAGAAAGAAGGGAAGGGTAGGGGGAAGGCCTTTTAAAATTTGGTTTTGTTTCTCAATACTCTACCCTGATTTGATGAGTAATAAATTAATTTTTCCAAGCCAAGTCTGTTTTGCCCATGACAGTAACCAACAAGTGATCTCCCTGCCCTTATCTCAACTCACAAGCCTTTAATTGTATTTTCTCACTCCTTCCTCTTCCCAGCTGAGGAAGGGGGAGATAGAGTAGCTTTGGTGGGTACCTGGCATCCAGCCACAGTCAACCCACCACTGATTAAATCAGAACCTCCACATTCAAACCAGCAACTCACAATTCAAATCTGAATCTATGTTCAACTTCTGCTCTTCCTTCTGCTACTGGAATAGGAGGACTAATAAGTGGAAACGTATTTAGCAGCCCAACAGACCACATTCCACCTCCAAGATTGCTAAAATTTCATAGGATCCCTCCTGGGGAAATGTGGCATAATTGCTTCTCTGAACACTCCTTCAGATCTGGATAAGAACTAAACCATTATGCATGCAATTGCTACTGCCAGTGACCCAGCCCATCATCTGAGACAACGCACCTGATTTTCAGCCGGTCATTCTCTGAGTAAAGCCGAAGGACGTGTTCCCTTTCCTGGAAGAGGCAGACTTGCATACCACTCAAAGCCTTTTGTAACTCTGCAATCTCTTCTTCTCTCTGACGTACTTCCCACTGCAATTTGTGCTGAGTAGAGAGAATGAGGTACTTGAAATGATATAGAGCATTGGGTAACACTTACAAACTTAAACTGCTTGTACCCTGAGCCTGTAACTGGTATGGTACAACTGCCAGTTCAAGTGAATTATTTTATTCTCTGACAAAATTTGACCAGATGAGGGTAGTATTGGAAAAAAGGTTTTCAAATGCTTCAACAGGGAGTTCAGAGCCCTGAGAATCACTTTCACTACAAACAGTCAAACAAGACCTAAGCTAGAGTCTCCAGTTTCTAGTCATTGAATTTCTGCACTGGTGGCCAGAGTGGCACAGGTATGGGGAGTCTGACATCAACAAAAAACTAATAAAGCCTTTCTAACAGCACTTACTCTTAAAAGAAATGACTGAAGAAGAAACAGTAAAATATCTGTAGGGCTTAGTAGTGAAAAATCTGGCTACTCGCTAAATTTCATTAATGATTTTCTAACTCTTGTCAAAACCTTTCAGAAAACCATTCCCTAAAAGAGAAGGCACTAGTTTGGAACCTGCCACTTTTTCCCAGATATTGAATTAAAGTAACTTGTAAAACATGTATTTCCTGAGGGCTTTCAGGCTGCTTCAAGCATGGCTAGTAGTTCAGGAGGCACTGCAGAAGTGATCACTATTTCCAAAGGGCCATTTGCTACTACAAAGATTACTCCTAGATAGAGTCCTAGACAGATGGAGGCTGTAATGCACATCAGAGCACCGAATATCTTACAGATATTCTGTAAGGGCTTCTTCCTCCTAAAGGCAGACACTTGTAGGTTTTGGAGTTTCTTTTAAATCTGCATTTATTTGCTGTGAAGCATACTGCTTAACAGCCTGTGGCCAAGCTTACGAATTCTAGTGTGGGAAACAAATTATATTTATATCTCAAGGTCCATTAAATTTGAACAAAAGAGCACTCATTCTTCACTATGAAAAACAAGGGAAAAGTTTAACAACATGGGAACTGAATACCTGAACTCAGGCTTTAATTAAAAAAAAAAAAAAACAACAAAACACACACAGAAACAAACAACCCACTGTGAATATAGCAACATAAGAATAGAGGAATATCCTATGGGCTTGTTTCTGTTTGCTTTCATGGACAACAAACAGCTAAATTTCACAATCAAAACCTGAAATATACTTATTTCCTCTTGGCTCAGTTCTACCACAGTACTGGTAAATCTTAAGACCAGCTGTGCTGAATTTCCAACTGAAGAAAAATATTAAGGTTGTTTAAGGACACGTAGCCCATCATTGTTCAAAACCCCTTTTCCTCACCTGCTCATCATACGTTTCTTTGTATCTCTCCAGCCTTTTAACCAAATCCTCATGCTCCCTATCAAAGTCAGCGATCACCTTGCGGTAGTATTCCAGCAGCTCCCGGGAGGGACAGAGAAAAGCCAAATGCTCATTGATTGAAGGGAGAGGAGTAAAGTCCCCCTGACTTGGAGACTGAGAACTAGCATGCCTGGATGAGACATGGGGGGTTGCCAGCCTGGACAGAAACAGTTTCTAATGACATGTAAGCTTCAGACAATAATATAACAAAAAAACCTTTTCCTAAAGTAGTTAAAACCAGATTTTCAATTTCAACTCAGGTTCCGTTTCAAAAACCGATTAGCTTGCCTGTGCTCCATGTATTAACAGAAGATCACAGCATTTAGGAGAAGCAAAAGCCTTGATACAGAGCAGCTTGCAGGCTTACTGCACTGTGGAGATGGGGCCAGCTAACAGAAAAGGGTGAAAGAAAAATGTTATAGAAGAAAAGTCTTACAGATTATTTGGGCAGAGTGAAGCTGAAAAGGAGGAAGGGAAAGGAGAAAACAAAGGGGACCAAAAGTCCATTACTGTGCAATTAGAAACAGCAGCCACTGTAAGAAAAACAGGAAGACATAATCTGTGACAGAATCATATCTAATACCCATAGAGAAAAACACTTTCTAAAGAAAGACTGCTGAATAAAGACAATAATTCAGGCTAGCTGATGCAGCAGCCACCATAAGGTAAGGTGTAAGTCTAGGAGTCTACATGCTTTCATCTCTGGTGTGCTTGATGTTCTTACCCACACAATGTCCACCCTTGACAGGGAAATATAAGCTTCCAAGTTCTTGAATCTTATGTTGAGGTACTAGATCTCAAACATTACATAAACTAAATCAACAATATGCATATGTAATTACATATTGGATTTTTCTTTTAAGCAATGTTTACTGCATTCAAACACTTAATCTGCTCAAACAAGCACCAGATTTGTGAATAAAGCTACAGAGCTCAAAATTTTTTTGGAAATTGTTCATGATTTATGTTAGGTCTAAAAAAAAACAAACAAAAAAAACCCGCCTTTTTTTTCAATGATACGTAAGTGCACAGAACTAAAGTGAAGAAGCCTCTTTCCTAAATATCTGCTTAACAAAAACAGTCCAGAACCTGATTCTGGAGCCAATGCCACAACTTTGATCATAATGTGATCTGGTAGGTGACACTGTATATCAGTGACCTTTATGTCCCAGCTCACCAAAGCATCATAACACCCAGCATGCTACATCCATAAAAATGTGCAAAGCTCCTTAACTCCTGGCACTATAGGAAAGTATTCAATATGCAATAACACAATTATTTCCTGTAGGAACTTCCTCACCAGCTCTGCCCAGAAGTGCCTTAAACAACAAACTTTGAAAAGTAAGTAACAGCAATAAAACAGGTAACATTGTCACTAAGTAAATACTTTATTACTGAACTAAAAAACAGTAAAATCACAGAATGAAATGGGTTGGAAAAAACCTTTAAGATCATCAAGTCCAACCATTACCCAGGACTGCCAAGGCCACCACTACACTATGTCACTGAGGGCCCCGTTTTTGAACACTTCCAGGTATAGCGATTCCATCAACTGGGTTGGAAAAAGCCTTTAAGATCATAAAGTCCAACCGTTACCGAGGACTGCCAAGGCCAAGGCCACCACTACACCATGTCACTGAAGGCCCTGTTTTTAAACGCTTCCAGGTACAGCGATTCCACCATTTCCTTAGGTAGCCTGTTTCAATGCTTGACAACACTTGCCGTGAATAAACTTTTCCTAAAAATCAATCTAAATCTCTCCAGTGCGGCCGTTTCCTCTCATCCTATTACTTCTTGATTAAGAGAAGGAACCGACCCGCACCTTACTATAACCTCCATCTAGGTAGTTGTAGAGCGCAATAAAACTGGAAAGCGACAGAAACGTAAGTGCATAAGAATAAGGAAGCAGAACAAGTACAAGAGCGGCTAACAGTGCTTTACGTTAAGCGGGGCTACCGGTCAGAACGGGGAGAGCCGCGAGGCCAGCGCCCGCAGAGGAGTTTGGGGGCGGTGCGCCCATCGGGCAGCCCCACACTACCTTCTGGAGCGAGGGGAGGTCCCCCCGGCGTGGTTCATTGAGCTCATATCCCTGCGGCTAGAGCCGGACTCATCGGGAGCAGGGGACTAAAGCCCCAAGACCCCCATGAAACACCTCCAACGGCAAAATAACCGCCACAGCTGCTCCTCCGCAACTTAAACAGCGAGACAACATGCCGCCCGCCACCTCCTCCTCCAATCGCAGACAACCTTCCATGTAGCGTCGACCGCCTCAACCAATCAGCGCTCGCGACACCGTCGACAGGAGCTACTCGCAGGCGCCTCTGGGAGTTGTAGTCCTTGGGTGGGCTCGTCACCGCGCGTGCGCAGAGTGCGGGGCGGGCGGGGAGGGGCGAAGCGCTGGCTCTATCTTGGTGGGGGGTATTTGTGTCAGAAATGTGGGGCCCTCGTTGGGTAATCCCGGGCTGGTGATAGCACGGGTTGGGGCTCTGGGTAGAATAAATACCCCCTGCAGTGGGGACTCTGTTCATCAACAGCGACAGAAATGAAAACACTCAAACATCCCCTTTTTCTTTGAAAATGAACCAAATGAAGACAGGGGTTGCTGAGCAGTCACAGGGAGCAGCTGGGTCCAATCCTGGCTTAATATCCACATGTGGTTTTTGGACCACGTTTAATGTTTTTTAGAACACGTAGATGCTTTTTAGGTTTTTCATCTTTCTCCTGTACCTTCCTGTGCACAGCCAGTGCTTAGCAGTCTTACAAATCATGCAATTAAGGACTTCCTAAGCACGCTGGGAAACAACCTGCACGCTAATAAGCCAGCTTTTTTTCTTTCTTTTTTTGTCCTTTCTGTATTTTACATATATATGTTAAAATTAAATCTAGGCCTACTTACAAAACTATGTGGCTCTTACTCAAAATCAATTTTCTCAAGAAACAAAGAAAAAAGGAAGATAGCCAATTTTCCAGGCAAAGTGCAGGTGAGTGGCTAGTGTTATCACCGGCTGGCCTACCTGCTCTCAAAGCACATGGGTGTGTTGTATGAGAAGCTGAGGGCTCCCATCAGGGAAGTGATAAATGCTCCCAGATGGCCACAAGGAATAAAGACTAATGTGGGGTATGCAAGTCCCCATGTGCCCCAGTGTTTCTGAGGCTAACTACGCCCAAACAGGAAGAGGTGGCAGAAAGAAATGTAAAATTCTGTTTCTAAAAGGCTGTCTCAGAGAACTGGTAAAATGAAAGTCATTTGGGATCTTTAGTTTTCTTGCTCTGTGAGGAAAACATGCACCCTCCCCAGCAGCGCCTTCCAGGGTCCTGCACTAACCCAAACACAGCGACACAAAAATGGAGCAACACTGAACAGTCTGGAAGGAAACTGGCAAAAGACCCATTCTCAAAACAAAGCTTTTGCTTGGATTAGGTGCTTTCTAGCCTGGAGTTTGTTTTTTTTTTCCCCCTTCTAGTATTCCTGGCTAAATCACTGCTTATCTTGGAAAGTGGCTATGTTGGTGATTCTGCTGTTGGGAATAGAACACACATATGGAAACACACGTTACATACATGAACACATGCATTTCCTCAAAAGAATCTGCTGCAGCTCATAGAAGCAAAGAATGGTTTGGGTTGGAAGGGATCTTAAAGATCATCCAGTTCCAACCCCCTTCCATGAGCAGGGATACCTTCCACTAGACCAGGTTGCTCAAAGCCCCATCAAACCTGTCTTTGAACACTGCCAGGGATGGGGCAGCCACAGCTTCTCTGGGCAACTTGTGCCAGTGCCTCACCACCCTCACAGTAAAGAACTTCTTCCTTATATCTAACCTGAATCTCCCTTCTGTCAATTTACAGCCATTTCCCCTTGTCCTATCACTACAGGCCATTGTAAAAATCCCCTCTCCCAGCTTTCCTGTAGTCCCACTTTACGTGTTGAAGGCTGCACTAAGGTTTCCCCTGAACTTTCTCGTCTGCCTGCTGAACACACACAGGTCTCGGTCTGTCATCAGGAGAGACACACAACCAAATAATAAAAGGAAAAAAAGAGAAAAATGGCAGAAGCACACAGAAATATAATGCCTAGCTACAGGTAAGGAAACATGTGCGCTCCACATGCTTTTACAGTCATAAAAGCATCAAGCACCCACACCAGGAACCCCTGCAAAATGTAAGAGTACATTGCAAAAGTACAATAACCCATGGTAAATTCACTCCATGCAAGACCAGTTTGCTCTCACCTAAACCTTTTATGGAAATTACCCGTTTGCACTGGAGCCCTTTGTTTCCCATATGTTAAATGTGGGCGGCACTTCTTGCATCTGGCAGGGAAGCAGTGCAGATAAATGTGTCAGTCTGCCTGGAGGAGATCTTGCAAGCCTCATGGTAACAGGAGGAGGAAATTAAGTTTTTTTCGAGACTGAAATAGTACACCAGGACCAAGGCTGGAATAAAGAGTTAAGAATGAAGTATGGGGTATGGCAAATACTGAAGGCAGGGCTCTGGTTTCAAAGAAAAACACTGCACAATTCTCTTTGGAAGACTGTTGTAATGGAGAGGTGAAGGAAGTAGTGAGCAAGTCCTGACTTGTGAGTACCTGAATCCTAGAATGGTTTGGGTTGGAAGGGACCTTTATGTTCATCTAGTTCCAACGCCTCCTTTGAAAATAAAACATCCCATGTGGGGAGATCAGCAGAGTATACACAATGGAGAGGCTGGGGGCTTGATTGGGGAGAACTTACCAGAACCTTGTTACCAGTTACTGACAGGCCTTGTGAGACCTCAATGGAGAAGCAGCAAGAGCGACCGCTGGGCCTGAGATGGGGGCTGCCAACAGAAGCGCCTGCTGAGCGGCGTCAGCACCGCTTAAGTGAGATTAAATTCAAAGAGCAGCACCAACAGCTGCCTCGGAGGGGCACAACTGCGGGCCTTCCCCGCAGGCACACAGCAGAGACCTCCGGTGCTGGCCCTGCGGCCCCGCCACCGCGCTGAAGGCTCATTTTCTGCTAAAGTTAAATATAATACTGTTTCCTTAAAACAACGTTAAAATACGGCAACAGCTGCCGACACGTAAGACCGCCACGCTCCCAAACCCCAGAGGTAAAAGCAAGCCACCCATTCGGCTCGGAGGCGTGGCCTGCAGGAGGGGGGGTGGCTCCCGGCCCTCCTCCTGACGTCCGGCTCAGACAATGGGTTAAATGGCTCTTCAGCACCGGAAGTGAATGTGTCAAGTTTCTTCGCACATTCCTCCGCGGCGGAAGGGGAGGTAGCACAGCTCTCGTTCCCCCCCCGCCGCCCCGTGGGGTGCGCTGAGGGACGGTGGGCCGAGCTGTGTGTCTTGAGGCTGCGGAAGGAGTGCCTCCGGGAGCAGCGCGGCTGGGAGGCGGCCGGCTCCTGAGCGCTGGCAGCCGCCTCCGTAGCAGCGTGGCTGAGGGACTACTTTTTGGATCGGAGAGCAACACAATATCTCACTTCCGGGGGAGGGCTCAAAGAGAGACGCGTAATTTCCGGCGAGCTGGAAAGCTACTGAGAGGGGCTCGGCGAGGGGGGAAGCAACCCAGGGGACGGGACCACAACATTCGGCACCGACTGCTTCCACCACCGTTTACCCCTCCCTGCAGCCGCCCCGACTGGCAGCCGCCGCCGGACGATGCGCCTCTGCCCCCGTCTCAGCCCCGCCGGCCGCCCCTGAGGGCCCCCCGGCCGTCCCTCTTCGCCCTGCCCCGCCGCGGCCCTCGGTGCGCTCCCCGCCCTCCCCCTGCGGCCATGTCGGGGGGCGGCGGGTCGCGCTATGCGGCCGAGTTTGTACCCCCGCCCGAGTGCCCCGTGTTTGAGCCCAGCTGGGAGGAGTTCAGCGACCCGCTCGGCTTCATCGGGCGCATCCGCGGCCTGGCCGAGAAAACCGGCATCTGCAAGATCCGGCCCCCCAAGGTACCGCCCGCCTGGGGAGGGGGCAGGGCCCGGGGTGACCGCGAGGGGCTGCGCCGGGAGGGCTGAGCGGGCTCCGTGTCTCTAGTGTCGGAGTGGTGAAGGCCTACGAAGCCTCTTCACCCGCTCCTGGGTGCTCACTTGAGGCTTTGTGTGCCGCTTTCCGTAGACCTTGGTGTCCGTGCTGGGGGTACCGGGGAACTTGTATAATCCTTGCTTTCAGGGATGGGTTTTGTAGTGGTTGCTTTGAAGCAGGTGAGAAGCTGCCAGGGCATGGTGGTGCTTTTCACCCTTTTCTTGCTTTAAAAAAACCCAACAAACCAACAGGCTACTTGTGAAAGCTGCGAAGGCATTGTAGGTGAAATCAGGTGCTTGTTCTGAGAGGGGGGAGAGAGAGGAGAAGGTTTGTTTCCTTTTAATGGATCGTTGTAAACGTAATCTTTAAACTGCTAATAGAAGTGCAGCCAACCTGTTTGTGCTGGGGAATTATATTTATGCATAGCAGTTCAGAAAGTAGAATCTTAATCTCTCTCACGGCTTGATCATTGTTTTATAATACCTTGCCCTGTGACCTGGTAAACCATTTAGACCAGAACATCAGGCAGTTTGGCAAAAGGTGGTTAGATTACTTAAAAGTACAAATGAACTTTAAATATAGCTGTTAAATAAGAGTTGAAAATAGAGAGGAAAAAAACCTGAAAAGAAGGCATGTAACTAAGAGCAACTTGGATATGGGGGTTGCTGATTAGATTTCATGATCCTTCTTCTGACCTGCCTGGGTTGCCAGAATCTGTTTAGTTGGTTTAATGACATGGTGAAAACTTGACCTCCAAGGGACTGCCCTTTCTAAAATAAGCAGAATGGCTTAGGTTGAGAGGCCATAAGGAACTGATCCAGATCCTCCTCATTGAGAATAACTAGAACTTTCCTGGCCGTTGAATGCGTTTGTGTTTTTCCATGTTGCTTGGCTGTTTGCATTGCAGGGTTTTTGCAGGATGTGTGCGTCAAGTTGATTTGCAACCTGCAATAAGGACTAAATCAGATGCTTTCTACTAACCTGACTGATTTATTATTAGAATCTGTAAATATTTTACGATTGTGCTTGAGGTCTTTATATGCTGCAGCAGTGCAAACAATAAATACTTAGTGGGGCTTGCCCACCTGGAATGGGTGTCCTTACCCTGTTGTTGCCTGCCAGGCAGACAATCTACTATAACTTTGTAAAAAGCTGAATTGTACTTGTTTTGATGTTGTAACACAGTTTTGACGGATGGGGCTGGGAGGCACTTGTGATTGAACAGACTGTTAACTGTTGAGAAAGTCATTATTTAAGGCTGCATTTCTATTGAGG